TCGCGTAAGCGGTGACTACGCCAATCAAGAAGAAGAAGAAGAAGAAGATGTCATTTTTTCATTTGAATAAATTTGTTTCAAAATGTTTCTAATTTGTAATGAATTCATCTGTGAGATTGGCACTCTGACCCATTTTGACTCACTTTAGAAAATTAATATAGAATTGAAAGACTTATTCGACTCGGCTGACTGACTGTGGCTCGGCTCCTAATATTATTGGCACACATAACTTTTAAATCTTTTGAACTCTTTTTTGCTCAAAATTTTTCATAATGCAGAAGGTAAATTTAATACGAATTAGTTAAAGAAATTGGGTTATAGGCGTGGCACTATCTACTGTTAATAAAATTTCCATATCCTGAATAGTGCTTAAATTAAAATAGATAACTTCACCGTCGAGAAAGGTGATGAAATAAAACCCAAGACTTTTGCTGATTTTCTAGAAGACTTATAGCTTTATACAGTACTTAATATTCGATTTGGCGAAAATTTAGCTCTCCCTTACTTAATTTGTTGCTTCTTAAAACATCATTTCAGTATATATATTTTACCACTTCAGTTTTTCAATCAGTCATAAGCACCCAAGCACTCAATATCTTATCTCTAAACAAATTTATAATTCTTGATTTGAAAAGATTTGCAAAAAACGAAGAAATCCACAGTCACAGCTAATGAAGAAAAAGCACCGGAATTGGTGCAAGAAAGCAAACAAGAAAATAGATTAATTGACTATGCCGTTAAGCTGTCAAAAAACTCTTTAATACGTACTATTTTGTGTATAAAAATATATATTATATTAGGGTGGGGCAAAAATATTAAATTTTTAGTATAGAATAAAATTAAAAAATTACCAAAAAAATATTAATAAAAAAGATATATCTAAAACCTGTCTCTTATACACATCTAGATGTGTATAAGAGACAGGTTTTATTTTTATCATCAAAAATGTACCACAAAAGTTTCTGGCTATACAAAATATAAAAATAAAAAATCCTGTCAAGTCAAAGGTTTCCAGAAACCACATTAGTGTACCAATACAATGACAAATACAATTTAACTCGTTCTTTTATTACAACATTAATGAAATATGCCATAAAACAAGCCCGAATATAACAAATAAATGAGTGGAATAAACACAAAACCACATTACAAAGAAATAAATGCATACGAGTCATTTACAAACTCCTCTCAGCTTCACTCACCATTTTTCCCCATAAAAAATATGAGAGAATTTCTCATGCCTTGCCTGCGGCCTTGAACATCCCGTGCTGCGTTCCCTCGTAGCATGAGCTTATCGCTAATTAATTTGATTGCTATTAAGCATGATAGTAGCATTAACAAGAATTTCCAAAGCCCGCAACTCCAGGCAAAACAACAAAAACAATAAAATGCTCATATCAATTTTGTATCAACTTGTTTACGCATTGCGCCGCTGGCAACGGAAGTTGCACTTAAAACACACGAGCGATTTCTAATTCTCACGAGTACAAATGAACGAAAAAAATTAATTTAGAAAAAACAAATGTAGAATTAATTGAATTAGTTTGTGGCAAGCGATTCCCAGTGGATTAATTTGTAAATGACGAAAAATCGAATAGTTAGCAACTTAATTAGCTAGAGGCATACACGTGTATAGTATGAGGCTATTTAAGAAATTTATTATACATTGCAATATTTTTTGTTATTTATTTTAATTAAGATGTCATTTTTTCATTTGAATAAATTTGTTTCAAAATGTTGATGAGGATGGAGTCATGTGTAGAAGTTCACGCAAGTGAGGAAAGTTTTCTGATCGCCATTCACGTGGGAGTGGCCAGAAACGATTCTTTTACATATGACTCAAGCAGCTCACGACTTCCGGTCTTTGACCAAGTATCCTCTGGGTAGCCTAAGAACCTGTCTCTTATACACATCTTGTATGTACATTAAAGTTATTAAAGAGCAGAGCCACGCCCAATTTTTAAAAAAAATTTGGTCCACCCTAATATGCATACTTTAATTTTACTAACGAAAAAAGTAACAAAGCAGT